CCTCTGCTCTAACAGAAATTGACTGTCCTGCAATTGCCATTATGCCGACCTCACCATGTTCTGTCACCAGGGTACAAATCTGAGACCAAGTCTGACCTACTTTTACAACTTCATCCCATCCTCTGGGCTATAAGGTCGCTTGCAATTTGTCATCTCTTCTGAAGTCCTGGGCCACGTGTAGTCAGCTCAGCAGATCCTCCATAGACAGGTGGATCCTGTAAATGCACCTTATCGTATACTATGCTAAAAATTAGAGAAATGGACTCTGGGGCGGGGGGAGAGGCAGAGAAAGATGGTGTGTCCAGGTTTTCTCCTTTATTTTTGCTTCTTTCTTGGAATGTAAAGAGAACCTTAAAGGAAACTTAAAAGTTATAGAATTCAACCACCCACCCAACTCAATAATTCCTCCTAACATGTCTCCAATCATTGTTACTCCACTTTTGCTGGCGATGAGGAACTCATTATCTTGCAAGAACATCCAGTCTTTGATCGTAGCACTCTATTCAAAGTTCTCCATTAGCTGAAACTGAAATTTGGATCCCCGTGGCTTCCAGTTATTGGAACTACTTGCCCTCCAGCAATAATGTATGTGTCCCACGGAGGGCCTTTAAATATTTGCAGCTGTCATGTGCTTGCAAGTTTCTCTTCAAGTTTATTGCCCCCAGTTCTTTTGACTGTTCCTCATTTGACACACTTTCATTATTCTCTAGAGAATTTGCTGCTGCTTCTCTTAAAAAACTCTGATTTGTCATTGTCATTCATGTATAACCAACCTCACTGAACGTGATACCACAAGTAATGTGGTCTGATAAGCACAGAGTATAGCAACCACATTCTCCACTAAGATTAGAATTAATTTTTTGTTAGCCATGCCACACTAACATTTATGTGATTTTTACATTGACTATGGATAAGCTATTCTAGTTCACAGTGGTTATTTTAAAACTTAAGTTCTTTATGCTTTTATGGATCATGAGATTCATCATATTAGCATCAGTCTCTCTTTTCAGGATTCATGATTATTAATTCAGCTGACCAACTGACCAGTAGCTAGCTGTCTGGCTCATTTTTGGGGCCATCTGCACATTTGAAAGCAGAAGCATGTTTTATGTGTCTTCATTCATAGTTTTACTAAATATGTGAAAGTGAAAAAGTAAAAAACTGATATCCACTCTGATATCAGCCTACTAAACAAGAATGATTCCTGGCACTTGGTTATTGAATAAATAAATGAATGAATCAATGAACTAATTGATATCTTGTCTTATCCCCCATATTTAATCTACCACCATATCTTGTTGATTATAATCCTACATACGGCTTCTCTCAACTTCTGCACCTTCCAGCCTGGCCAAACAGCCATCTTCTTATACTTGAATGTCTGACACCTGATTGGTCTTCTGGCATTTGTTCTGGCTTTCCTACTGTCCATTTGCTACACAGCAGCCAAAGTCATCTTTTCAAAATGCAAACTTGATTATGTAACCTCTCTGCCTTAATTTCTTCAATGTTTCACATTGCTCTCAGAATAAAGACCAAAATCCTTATCTGTCCCATAAGGTAAGCATGTTCTGGCTTCTACTGACCTCTCCAGCCTTGTCTCCCATCTCTTCATTCACTTTAGCACATCTATCTTTTGCCTCAGTGCCTTTGCACATGCTGTTTCCTTTGCCTAGAATTCTCCCAAGCCATTCCCCTTGGACCTACTTAGCACCTATTCAGTCTCTTCTGACTATCTATAGGTGCATCACGAACTGCCCCCAAATTTATCAGCTTGACACAATAAATATTTCTCCCCACCCCCCTCTCTCTCAAGTTGTGGGTCAGAAATTTGGGCAGGCTTCTCAGTGATTGTTTTGGTTCTCATGGCATCAACTGAGGTCACTTGATATTAAGCTAATGAATGAATGGACTCTTCTAGAGTTTCACTGTCCACCTTGGCAGTCACTAGCCACATGTGCCTACTGATTACTTGAAATGTAGCTTATCTTAATTGAGATGTGCTGTGAGTATAAAATAACCACAGATTTAGAAGATTTGATACAGAAAAATATTATAAAATTTCCATTAATAATTTCTATACTGATTCCATGTTGAGATTATACTTAACAGATATTGGATTGAATAAAATATATTATTAAAATTAATTATACCTATTTTCATTTTTTTAATGTAGCTACTAAAACTGTTCAAATTATGTGGCTTGGCTTACATTTCTATTGGATAATGCTGATCTGGAGCAAGGTATCTATACTAATAAAAAAGTAATATGCTAATTAGGCTGGACATCTTCTTGACAACTTCCAGATATCCTTCCAGACAAAACCATGGTGGCAGGGGTAGAGGCAGAGGTAGTTATGGATGATCAGGCTGGTAGAGGAGAGCAGTTAGGGGGCGAATCAGGCTGGCAGGAGATGGCAGTTAGGGGGTGATTAGGCCAGCAGGGGAGCAGTTAGGGAGTGATCAGGCTGGCAGGCAGAAGTGGTTAGGGGAAATCAGGCAGGCAGGCAGGCAGGCAAGCAGTTAAAAGCCAGTGGTCTCAGATTGCAAGAGGGATGTCTGACTGCCGGTTTAGGCCTGCAGGGATTGGGCCTAAACCAGCAGCCAGACATCCCCCAAGGGGTCTTGGGTTGGAGAAGGTGCAGGCTGGGCTGAGCGACCCACTTCCCATGCACGAATTTTGTGTACTGGGCCTCTAGTTTTTTTCTACAAAAGGCCAGATAGAGGGTATTTTCAATTTTGTGGTCACTATCTCAGCTACTCAACTCTACCATTGAGTGCAAAAGCAGCCAGAGAAGATAACTAAATAAATGAGTATGGCTATGTTCCATGAAAACTTTGTAAATATAGTTGATTGCTACATTCTGTTTGATGACCTCTGATCTAGGGAATTCAAGCTACATGCCTGGTGGCTTGGCAGAGATGGAAAGCTGGGCTCAGCTGAGACTATTGAACCAAACACCTGCACACAGCCTCTCCAGCACAGAGGTCTCAGGGTAGTAGAACATCATAGATGGCAGCTCCAAACTCCAGAAAGTGTACTCCAAGAAAGACCGAAGCTGTGAAGCTTCTTTTTATCTAGCCTCAGAAGTCTCAAACCTCCCTTCTGCACATTCTATTGGTCAAACAAGTCTGGGAAGCCAGCCCAGATTCAAGGAAAGATTAGATTCCACCTCTTCATGGGAGGGGTAGCAAAGAATATATCCACGATTAATCTACCACATTGTCCTTCATGTTTAGACTATTCATGATATAGACTCTCCTTTATAGCACTTGCCATTATTGTAATTTTATATTTATTTCTGTGATTATTTGATCACTATCTCGCTCTTCTACTTAACTGTAAGCAACCCCATGAAGGGGAGCTGTTGCTGATTTTGTTTATTGTTATATTCCCAGCACATAGCACCATGCCTGGCTCAATAGAAATTTATTGAACAAATGAACAATATTAGGGCACAGCTTTTCAGCCAAGTAAGCATACTTAATATCAATCCCCCATACTGCTCTTAAGCATATCATGTGACATCTTGTCAGAAGCCTTGTGAAAATTCAAACACATTCAATTCCCAGAACTCTTCCTAATTTGAAGTTAAGGGACTTCATTGAAAAGGGAAGCAAGCCTACCTTATTCCTCCTGGAACCTTCAAGGTAAGACTAGCTGCTCTAAAGGTCCTGGTGCTCTGAGATGTAATCCACGTGGCATGTCACACAGGCAAGCCAGGGCCTTGGGCAGCTTGTGCTCCTCCTGCATGTCACTCTCCTCTCACCTGGCTGAGGGTGCCCAGCCATCGAGGTTGCCTTGTCCGGTCACAGTATGAACTGGTGAAGGCAAAGGGCCAGGCCCTGAGCGTGGGCTGAGGCCACCCTGGTACTCCCTCCCTAAAGGCTGTGGTGTCCTGCTTTTTTGCTTGGAACAAGCACTCCTGTATTTGCTAGAAAGAGTTGGGTATTGCCACCTTCCACACTAGTCCTGGAGCTCGAATTGTAGTTATTTGTGGACCCTATATTTCTTTTTAGGGCTGTGTGAGGGACCAAGGCCTACACATCTTTATATTCCCCCAAAACCTCTAAAGCAAGCCTGACACTAAGTTCAGTAAATGTCTGCATGAAAGCCAGTCTCAGTGAACAACCTTCCTAAGACAACAATAAGCTTAGCATTTTTTTCTAGTACCCTGATCACCACTAATATGTATTCTAGACAAAGTTGTGAAATAAGGAACATTTTATCTGCTGCCCCCCAACTTCTGCCTTGGAATCCTTGTCTCACTTTCCGTGTCGTCATTTCTGTACTTCCCTGTTCCACCCTGTTGCTGGCCACCAGCAGTCCACATCCCTTCATACTACCTCTTGCCTGAACTAGATCTCACATGTGCTTCAGACCGGAGACGCAAAAGGTCCCTTCTGTGTATTTCCTCCTTTTTCTACTCAGTACTCATCTTTGCCCAGATCTCTTCTGGGTGAGGCTTAGTTGTAACACGTGCCTGGAGCTAAACCCACAACAGGAAACTGATGACCTGCCCAGGGCTGGAGGGAAGAGGAGCATTCTCTGCCTGGCTAAAGCAATAGTTGTGGAATGAATGGAAGCTCTGAAACTCCCCTGATACAAAGAGACTCTTTGGGTCCCCTCCCACCTCATCCCATCATATTACCCTGAGCATCACTCTCTGATTCAGCAGCTGTCAGCACAGCTGGCCTGGGGACGTGCTGCTCCCTGTTACTCTAAGTGTGGGCAGAATTAGAATCCTTTTCACTTGCTCCCACATCACAGCTGAAACTGGCTGGGACTTTTAAAGGAACCACACCGGTGCTTGAAAAGAACACAGAGAGGATGCGTGGGTTTAAAACCTCTGCTCTGTCATTTACTAGCCAGTGGCTAGGACAAGTTTCTTAACCCCTCTGAGACCCCATTTCTTCATCTGTAATGAGGGCAAATAATCCCACCTTGTCACAAGGACTAATAGTATAGTCATTCAGCTGCCTCTCACTCACGCTCCATGATGCAGAGGTGTGGAATGTCCCGTGGTTGGCAAACTGAGGCTCGTGAGCCACATGCAGCTCTTTGGCCCCTTGAGTGTGGCTCTTCCACCAAAATACCATGGCCCGGGCGAGCCTATTTTGAAGAAGTGGCGTTAGAAGAAGTTTAAGTTTAAAAAAATTTGGCTCTCAAAAGAGATTTCAGTCGTTGTACTATTGATATTTGGCTCTGTTGACTAATGAGTTTGCCGACTACTGGACTCTGGCCCATGGGCCATATAAAGCCTGCAAAATCATTTGGTCTGGCCCAGCCAAGGCATTAGGAGTGAGTGAATTAAATGTTTGAGCAAATATAGCAGGCGAATTTGTAAGTTGATAGTTTTGTATGGCCTGCACGAATGATGTTCTGAATATCCAAATGGCCCTTGGCAGAATAAAGGTTCCCCACTCCTGAAGTAAGGGAAAGAGGTGTAGAGTGGGTGTTCTTCTTTGTTTCTGAAGCGACCCTCCAGCTACACAAAGGCTATTCATTTCAGGTGTGCGGCCACTTCATTCACCTACAGACCCTATTCCGCTCACAGATGACAGGAATCTCTCAGAGAATCCCCCCTGTAAACTCTTAGGTTCTTTCCTCTCCCATTCCCCTTTTGGCTCTCTCCCTCCAAAAGCAAGAGTTTCTACTTTGCAGGCACTCTGGAGAAAGCAATGACTCATGGCTGTGGCTGAGACCTCATTCCTGAGGGAGCAGAGACACTTCTGTTCTTTTTCAGAGCCAACAGCATTGAAGAAACGGGCTTACTAACCAACCCTTCCTCTTCTCTCCCCCCCCCGCCCGACCCCCCAGCCCAGAACTCAAGACAGCTAGAGTTGAAATTCTTTACATGGGGCATGTATACTTTTAAAAGAGAATCATATCAGTCTCAAGAATTTTAACACCATATTTTATTAGGTCTCTGACAAACCTTGTGTCCAAAGTGTTGTTCAAGGCACCACACACTCTCCAAATTAATATTATGAAGTTCACTAGGACTGTCATGCTGGGCACGATTTTGAGGAGGAATGTGATTACTGTGCCCAAATCCCTGAAGGGCTTTGGCAAAGTGTGTTGGGCTTATCCTGAGCAGTTTCAGAGAAGAACACCAGTATCGATGAGAGGAAGTTACCAGGAGACAGTTTGTCACTCAGGGGAAGAGAGTTTCCAAATGGAGAAGTCAAAAATGGTGTTGACTTCCTTGTCATATCCCAGTACTCCTTCCCACAGTGCAACTTACGGGGATGGTTCATTTATCCAAGATTTCTCAAGGCCAATAATTTTTTGTAATTATTTGAATTCAAGGTGATTTGTTAAATTTATAACAAAGTATAATTTGATGTTGCGCCCCTGTTTAACTAATTATTGGTTTGAAAACAATGGAAGATTTCTATATTACCAATTGGTGGGACTTCAGATACAAAGGGTTTTCAGCTGTCAGAATCTATGATTAATAGGATGATGGTGATGATTTAATATGAGGAAGTGCACAAGAATCAAATAGAGAGCTCTGTTTTCAGGTTCTACCATTGAGCAATGTCAGCATTGGCTCAACAGATAATGCCCAAGCTCTGAGATCTATTGAACTCACTAAAAGGGCAAGAGAGAGCCGAAATCGGTGTGGCTCAGTGGATAGAGCATCGGCCTGCAGACTGAAAGGTCCCAGGTTCAATTCCGGTTAAGGGCATGTACTTTGGTTGTGGGCACATCCCAGTGAGGGGTGTGCAAGAGGCAGCTGATTAATGATTCTCTCTCATTGATGTTTCTAACTCTCTATCCCTCTCTCTTCCTCTCTGTAAAAAATCAATAAAATATATATATTTTTAAAAATAAATAAAATAATATAAAAGGGCAAGAGAGAGCAATCAGGAGCAAAGTGAGGTTCATATGTTGACACCCACTGTGTATTTTATTTATTGATTCCAGAGAGGAAAAAAGAGAGATACATCAATGATGAGAATCATTGATTGGCTGCATCCTGAAGCCCCCTAATGGGGACTGAGCCCTCAACCGCTGGCATGTGCTCTTGACCAGAACCAAAGCCAGGGCCCTTCAGTTTGCAGACTGATGATCTATCCACTGAGTCAAACCAGCTAGGACTCACCTTGTGCTTTAGTGACTAAATATATTTGCACCTCATTGTCACAAGACACTAATTTTCTAATTAGTTAATAACTAGCACTATTTTTTTTATATATAAAAGAGCTCCTACAGATCAATAAGAAAAGGACTAAAGACCTAAATGAAAAGTCGGCAAAAGAAATGTATACACAGCATGGAACCAAAAATACAACCTCTTATACTTTTGAAAAGATGCTGATACTCATAATAAAAAACATCTATTTAAAAGTCACAGTGAGAACTACTTCACACCCATTGGAATGATACAAAAAACTCACATACACACAGAAAATAAATGTTGTCACGGATATGGTGACATTGGAATTCGTGCACTATTAATGCGAATGTAAAATGGTGCAGCTGCTATAGTAAACAGTATAGCAGTTCTTAAAAACAAACAAACAAAAAAAACTTTAAGTGTGACTCAGTAATTCCACTTCTGAATATATGCCCCAAATAAATGAGATATTTATGTATCCATGTTTGTGACAGCATTATTCATAGTCGTCAATAGATAGAAGCAACTCAAGATAACTTATTCTGCCACATATGTGATTTGACATATGATCAAGGTTTCCTCTCTGCAACATGATTGGAAACAACATAAATAGCCATTGATAGGGGCTGGAAAAATAAATTATTACATCCAATATATGCAGGTGTTATTATGATACACAGTATTTGCTGACACAGAACAATCTCCAAGGTAGCGGTTAGTGTGCAAAAGTATGTATACTGTGCTACCAGGTGTTTAAAAATAAAATGGAAAAAATGTTAGCCTATTTTTCCTAAAATAATTACAAGTAGAGGCAAGAAACTGCTAATAGGTAACAGTAATCACTTCAGTTATGTCTACGTAGGAAAACTAGAGAGCTAAGGGACAGGGTTGGGAGAGAGACTTGCCTTCCACTAATTATCACCTTTTAAATTTAATACCATATGCAGGTATGATGTATTCAAAAAAATTTTAATTAAATAAAAAGAAAAGTCAGCCCTAACTGGTTTGTCTCAGTGGATAGAGCATTGGCCTGTAGACTGAAAGGTCCCAGGTTCGATTCCAGTCAAGTGCATGTATCTTGGTTGCGGGCACATCCCCAGTAGGAGGTAAGCAGGAATGAGGCAGCTGATCAATGTTTCTCTCTCATCGATGTTTTTTCTAACTCTCTATCCCTCTCCCTTCCTCTCTGTAAAAAATCAATTAAAAAAAAAAAAAAATATATATATATATATATATATATATATATATATATATATATATATATATATTTTTTTTTTTTTTTAAAGAGAGGTCACTCTGGCCATTGTTGCTCAGTACAGTGTCAGCCTGCTCACTGAAGAGTCTTGGGTTGAATTCCCGCACAAGGACACATACCTGGCTTGCAGGTTTATCTCCAGCCCTGGTCGGGGCACATTCAGGAGGCAACCAATCAATGTGTCATGTGTCTTGCATTGATCTCTCTCTCTCTCAGTCTCTCTCTCTCTCTCTCTCTCTCTCTCTCTCTCTCAGTCTCTCTTTCTCTCCCCCTCTTCCCCTCTCCCTTCCTCCCTCCCTCCTTCCCTTCAACTCTGTCTAAAAATCAGTGGAAAAAATATCCTTGTGTGAGGATTAGCGAAAATAAATAAATTGATTGATCAATAGGTAGATAAAAAGAGAGATTTCAATGCATGCATATAAGCATAACCAATGGGCACACACAGTAGGGAGGTGAGGGCTGTGCTGGGCGGTGGGAGTGGGTGGGAAGAGGTCAATGAGGGGGAAAAGGAGACATATGTAATACTTTCAACAATAAATAATTTTTAAAAATAAATAAAAAGAAAGGTATCTGTGGATAAGGGGAAAAAACACAGAATAGACACTTTGAGCTCAAAGCCCTGTGCTCAGTGCCATGGGAACAGAGGAAAGGTAGTTCCCATAGCCTGAAGGGATAGGCCATAGCTGCTATCCACCCTCAAGGAAGAACTTTCTGGTATTGAATCAGGAATAGTTGTGCACATTTTCCTAAGCATTGGTTTGATTGTATCTTCTAGACCAGTGGTCGGCAAACTCATTAGTCGGCAGAGCCAAATATCAACAGTACAACAATTAAAATTTCTTTTGAGAGCCAAATTTTTTAAACTTAAACTTCTTCTAACACCACTTCTTCAAAATAGCCTCGCCCAGACCATGGTACTTTGGTGGAAGAGCCACACTCAAGGGGCCAAAGAGCCGCATGTGGCTCTCGAGCTGCAGTTTGCCGACCACGGATCTAGACAGATCTATAAATAAATTCACCAATTAGGTTTTCCTTTCACTTTGGCCATGGAACACTATAAGCCAAATTCCTGACCTGGCACTATGCAGCGTGGGCAGATTTCTCTGGTAAGCATTTAGCACTGGCCTTGTACTTGGATCCACTGTATATTTCTGCACTTGGTTTTCTTTTCACCTGTTTCTAATGTTCATCTTTCCTTATTCTATGCTTCCCTGTAAGCCACTCTATAGCCTTTTTGGTCTAAGTTGGGATAAGTGGGTAAGAGCAGGAATGGGGAGGGAGTGAGGGGAAGAAAGAGGAGATAGAGTTTATAAAGCAGTGCCTATCATTTTTATTGGCTCTGTCATGTAGATTTAGTGAATGCTGTAGCGCCATTGTTCTCAGAGTGGGGTCCTCAGACCAAGCAGCATCGTCATCATTATCTGTGAGTTTGTTATACCTGGGTCTTTGCCCAACCTACTGAATCAGAATCTTTGTGGACGAGGCCCAGAAAACTGCTTTCACATAATCTCCCTGATAATTTGTATGCACATTAAAGTTTGAGAAGCACAAGGAAACCAAAGGAATGTTGATTTCTAAACATAAATACTTTCCATTTGCCCTGTCATAACCATTGCATTGGCCAAGTAATGCTAGCCACTACAATAAATAATGTCATAAATTTTATTAGCTTTCTAAGGTAAAAAAAAAAAATTTTTTTTGGTCGTGTCACAGTCCAGTATGGATCACTGTGGGGTGGAGAAAGCTGTCTTGTTAATTTGTTCAGCCAAACAGCGTCCTTTCACAGTGAGGCTTTGCCATCCTCTACACCAAACATGTCAAACTCAAAGGCTAGCAAGGGCCAAATGAACAAGGTTTACATTTATGTGGGTCACAAACACACACACACACACACACACACACACACACACAAAAGCTTCAATTTTCATAAAAAACGTACAATTTATTTCAATAGAGACATGCTGAATACAAAGAGCTGAAATAAACAAGTTATGAGTATTTGTGGGCCGCGTGCGGCCCGCGGGCCACAAGTTTCACATTCTTGCTCTATACCCTTGGACTCCTCCTCTGGATCCTCTGCATTCAGGAAGGCAAGGGAGTGGTGGGTCTGAAAGTAACACCGACTTTTCTGTCCACAGTTCCACTGGCCAGAACCCAAAGCCATGGGAAGCTAGGAAATAGGTGTATCTGTGGAGCTAGGGCCATGGTCGGCAAACTGCAGCTCACGAGCCACATGCAGCTCTTTGGTCCCTTGAGTGTGGCTCTTCCACAAAATACCACGGCCTGGGCGAGTCTATTTTGAAAACGTGGCATTAGAAGAAGTTTAAGTTTAAAAAATTTGGCTCTCAAAAGAATTTTCAATCGTTATCCTGTTGATATTTGGCTCTGTTGACTAATGAGTTTGCTATCTAGGGGGAAAAGGAAATAGCTTTGGTGAACCATCTCTATCCCACACCCATGGACCTATGTGAATCTCATACTTCACTTGTATGTTTTGGGTTTGTTTCATCTTTTTAATCGTGTTTTATCTTTTCTTTTTCAACTCCAGCACTATGGGACTGAGTACCACTGTCTTAGTGATGGCCTTCCTGCTCTCTGGTAAGAACCTTTGGTTTTATAAAGTCCTAGAATCCTTCCATTGTGTTAAGTCTGACAGCTGCAAGTCCAGGCCTGAAATGTGGTGGGTTGTATTCATGTTCTAGCCTGTGTTGTACAACACCACAGGCAAAAAAAGACTTTGGTGGAGAAGAAGGAACCATCACAATTGAGAACAGGTATCTCAGCAGATGGCAGGCCTGGCCTCAGATGGAGCCCTATTTCTCCTGTGCATCCTTCTTTTCCATCTCACAAAAGAGAGTAGATTCTCCTGTCCAGTGGCACCTAGGGAGCAAAGAGAAGTCTGCTCTGACATCCCTTTTGCTCCACACATACTCCTTTCTGGTATTCTCTGTTTCATTTCTGGAAGTCTCGGGCTTTTAGGAAATAGCTCATGGGCTTCTAAAAGCCTCCTTTCATTAAGGAGCATTGTTTTCCATGTTCCATACCTTTCCTCTCTTCCTCCTCTACCTCCCCCACCTGCCCATACCCATAGATCATAGTAGCCACTGCTTACTGGGAGAATAAAAAACCCAGCCCTGCTACTACCTACTTCAGTGACCTTCAGTTAATTGCATCAGCTGATTTACTATGGCGCTAATGAAGCTGGGCTGCAGGGTTTCTCACTCAAGCTCTATCTAAAACCCCTTCAAGATCTCATGAGGGGCCTTACCAATATGGTCACATGTCTTATGCTTTGGTAAAATTTTCAAAAGATATCTTACCCACAATAAGTCAAGAACACTGCCTTTCTTTATTGCGACATTTCTCTCCATCTCATTCTCTGCCAGGTGGCAGGTATTATACTGGCCGTGGGCATTTTGAACTTGAATTCTGCATTTCTTTTCTTAAAGAGCTCCCTGCCCCAAAAAAGGAATTTTAAAAGTGTTTCACAGAAATAAGATCTTCCCTGTTTATAGCTCCACTCTGAGTTTCAATTTCTTCATCTGTTAATGAGTTGGTGGAGTTTCCTGCCACCCTGTGACTGGATGCCTTTAATGTCCACTGTCCTGCCCCTTCCAGCTGCTCAATTACCCCACCCTCAGCACAGAGAGGGAACCCTCTCACACACCCAAATGGTGTGGGGTAGACAGGGAGGGGGAGCTGAGCCTGCACTGGCCATAGCAGCACCAGGCCACTCCTGACTCCCCAGCCCAGCCATGAGCTCAGCTCTGCCTGTGGTAGTTCTAGATCTCCTCAGCCCCACTTGGCAGACCCTCTTTGGTTGTTTTCTCTTCAGCCACATCTGTGCAGACCTTCCTTGGGTGTTTCTCCTCAGCCACACCTGTGCATGCCCTCTGGGTTTTGTCAACAGATGATTGGTTACTGACAGCAGCAAGTGGAGAAATCATTCACTGAGACAGAGGACAGGGAAGTGTGAAGGGGAGAAACAGAGTAGCTATGGGTATCTAAATAGCAGTATCCAGTAGGCAATTAGATATGGATGTCTGGAACTCTAGTGAAAGTTATTGGTTGGAGATAAGCATATTGAATTATTAGTTTATATACACTGAGTGTCCAGATTATTATGATCTCTGAATGCATAATAATCTGGCCACTCAGAATATATATATTTATTTATTTTAGAGGCCTGGTGCATTAATTCATGCATGGGTGGACAGGCCAGCCTGGCCAGGGGGAGGGGACATGGGCAGTTGGCTGGCCTGCCTGCTGGTTGAACTGCTGATTGAGGGGATAATTTGCATATTAACCTTTTATTATATAGGATATACACTGAGTGGCCAGATTATTATGCTTTCAGAGATCATAATAATCTGACCACTCAGTGTATTTGGTAGATGAATCATGTGTATTTGTCCTCATGAATTTTCTTTTACTAAGGAAAAGCTAGAAAAAGTGTAAAGAGTAAGGAGATCAAGAGCAGGCACTCAAGATAATCAGTGATCAGAGAAAACTGACCAGATCAGAGATTGGGAAAGAATAGAGTTTCAAGGAGAGATGACCAGCAGTGTGACGGTCAACAGAGTGGTCAAATAAAGTGAGATATGAAAAGAGCTCTGAATTTAGCAATGGTAGGAAGTCACTGACAATCTTTGCCAGGGAAGTTTTGGCAGAGAGGTGGGGGACAGAGGTTGGAAATGAAAGCAGCAACTGCTGCTTACTCTTTCAGGGAGTTTGACTATAAAAGAAAGAGAAACTAAAAGTAGTAACAGAGGGAACTGTTGTGAGGAAGGGAGAGGGTTGTAAGCAGGGTGAGCAGCTCAGAGGCCAAGTTAAATGGGATAAAATATATAATGTGACCAGTTCAAATAATTGAATAATTTCCTTCAGGGGTGCTCAAACATTCAATTGTAAGAAAAGATATGTAGATCAAAAGTACAGTGTTCTTAGGATGAATTTGCACAAAGGGGCAAATTTATTGGAGTTGCTGACAAAAGAATAATTGAGCCCTAGCTGGTTTGGCTCAGTGGGTAAAGGGTCGGCCTTCAGCCTGAAGTGTCCCAGGTTCATTTCCAGTCAAGGGCACGTACCTCGGTTGCAGGCTCCATCTCCGTGCATGTGGGAGGGAATCATTTGATGTGCCTCTCTCACATATATGTTTCTCTGTGTGTGTGTGTCTCCCACATTCTTTTCTATTCTCTCTAAAAAATCAATGGGGGAAAATATCCTTGGGTGAGGATTAACAGAGGAGGGGCGATCGGGGAAAAGGGAAAGGGAGAGGAAAAGGGAGAGGGAGAGGGACAGGAAGAGGGAGAGGGAGAGGGACAGGGAGAGGGAGAGGGAGAAGGAGAGGGAGAGGGAGAGGGAGAGCATGATTGAAAAGATATAATGTCGCCCTGACTGGTTTGGCTAGTGGATAGAGCATCGGCCTTCAGACTGAAGGATCCCAGGTTTGACTCCGGCCTGTACTTTGGTTGCAGTAGGAGGTGTGCAGGAGGCAGCTGATAGATGTTTCTCTCTCATTGATGTTTTTAACTCTTTATCCCTCTCCTTTCCTCTCTGTAAAAAAAAAAAATCAATTATATATATATATATATATATATATATATATATATATATATATATACTGTCACTTTGGTGTCCGATATGATAGCAATTAGCCACATGTGGCTATTTAAATTAGTTAGAATTAAATAAGATTAAAAATTCAGTTTTCAGTCACACTTGCGACATATCAAGTGCTCAATGGCTCAGTGGTAGTGGCTGGTGACCGCCATATCAGTCAGCACAGATATAGTACTTTCCATTGTTGCAGGGCTCTTTTGGAAAGCACTAAGCTATAGGGTCTAGACTGGTTGGAGTTGAGGTCTTGGTGAAGTAAAAAACAGATATAGGTGAAGTAATCGAGCAAATCTTAGAGGAAGAAATGTTGTGGACAGAGATAGGTACATTGATGTTTAAGGTTCTTAGAGCTGAGCTGTTCTTGGAAATGAGGTTTAGAGTTATGTCATGGGAGAGGGGGCTGCTAAAATAGTTCCGGTTAGAAGACTATAGTTTTTGTGTGATAGTCAAACAGCATACTGCTGAGGAAGTTCTCGTGTATCTTTTGAAACAAACTCCTTTAGCTGTTTAGGGAGGTATCTAGATGGATTCTTGAGTGCCTAGCTCCTGACATCATCAGAGCAGCCAGTTATATCTAGACCCAAAACACATCTATCACCCAAGTGCTGGGGAAGGCGAGAACCTCAATGCTTTCCCACCAATGGAATCTTAGTGAGTCCAGGAGCTGTGTGGTCTAGGATTTGGAATCTTAACAGGGGATGCCTGAAGCCACTTAGGGAAAATAGACGTTTAGCTAAATCTTTCCCATGTTGTAAGAGAGGGGCTTAGCATGCCTAGCTCTACGTGATGTCATGGAAGCCAGTGGTTGGTGAGGAACTGTGGAGTGAAAATTGTGAAATACTTTCAGTTCCACCCAGAATGGGCTTCAGAGTGATTTCCATTCCAGAGTAGGAAAGAGGGTTTGGATGGAAACAAATATTCTTGTCATAATCTCCTCTGTTTCACTCAGAGACAGAGGTAGAAACCCATTATTGCAGCTTCTCAAACTGGAGGTTTTTTTCCCCTCCTAAATATATTTTTATTTATATCATAGATAGGAAGAGAGAAGCAGAGAGATAGAAACGTCAATGATGAAAGAGAATCATTGATCAGCTGCCTCCTGCATGCCCCCTACTTTGAATTGAGCTTGCAAACTTGGCTTGTGTCCTGAGTAGGAATTAAACCTTAACCTCCTCGTTCATTGGTCGACGCTCAACCACTGAGTCATACTGACTGGGCTCAAACTGGAGCTTTTATTAAAATGCAGAATATGGCTCAGTAGGTCTGGGAGGGGCCAGAATATGTGCATTTCTGACCAGCCTTCCCTGATGCTGATCTCTTTAGAACATAGGCCACACTTTTGGCTGGTAGGTGAAGAGGGGAGCAGTTAGACATATGGATGAAAAAGCCCTTTTAATCTTTTGGAGAGGTGTCCTGGGTCAGAGAAGTTGGACTGATTTGTGAGTGAAGAGAGTGGTTGGGAAGGAGAAAAAGTTCAACAGAGAAACAACCAACAATCAAAAAAGCAAAAGCCTAAGGCTAAGTCAACTCCAGGCCCAGAAGGCACAATTGATCACCCACAAAAGGTAACATTGACCACTAACTGGCAGAATTTCCAACTGTGTTTGGTTTCTCTGTTAGGTCATTTGCCCTACATCATTTGGCAAGTCAATGATGTAACACAGTGATAGCTGCTAGAAGCTTTTACAGTAGGTGGCACTCTTACCTTATCGTTTGGAGTTTAGCAAAGAAGGAGCAGGAGCCTCAAGGTTGCCTTATAAGATGATTACTCAATATAGTACATCTTTAAGGCCTCTTTTTATTATTGTTTCAGGTTCCCAGGTAGGTTTTTCCACTTCCCTCCAATATGGGAATATATTCTATATGGATCCTGCATTTGTATACTTACAAGAGGTTCACAGATTTTACTGAGCAGAATGTAATAGATGGTTATTCAAATTTGTGCCAGCTCTCACTGATGTCTAGAGTCCTCTTCCCTTCAAATTTAAGACCACTGCCAACCCTCTTGATTATTTGTTCTCACTGGGCCATTCTGCACACAGTCCAATTTTGCCAAGTGCATGTCATTGTTATTTGCCCTTCTACTTTCTCTTGGAAGAGAAACCCATGGATCAGATCATTTTAACTTCTCTTACCAGCCCTCAACGAATACCTCAAATGAAACTACTCTTCTTTCTCTCAATAGCCCAACTCACTTTCCTCCTTAATATACTCCTAAACAATGGAGCTTTACTTAAATCTCACCTTAATTTCACCTTAGTTTCCAAGGTGGAAACTAACTTCATATTAACTAAGAAACAGCATTTCCTCCCAACCCTGCAATTCTCACCCACCACTAATCTGTCTGAAGTAATTCTGTGACCCAGAGTAGGTCCTACAAAAACCCTATAATCAATCACCTTTTCTAAAAAAAATATTTTTTAATTACAGTTTACATTCAATATTATTTTATATTAGTTTCAGGTTAGACAATCATATACTTTACAAAGTGTCCCCTGATATTTCAAGTACTTGGCACCATACATAATTATTACAATATATAATCAATCACACAAAATTCCTTCCACAAACTTCAAATGTCCTTGGGGAGGAAGCCCTTTCTCTGAACTCTCCCAGCTTGTCCTCCAGGGGTTGCAAAAACTGCCAGAACAGTGCATCCTGGGAAGAGCAAGTTTATAGTAATTTGGGTTTCCCCAATACTCCAAAAAAGCTCATTCTCACCTTCCCATCTATAATTCATTTTTAATCTCTCATTCATTACCTTAAATGGTCTTTGACTACCACAATCCCAAATAGCTATCGCATTTGCTCAGTTATCTTTCTGATCCCTGAAAGAGCTTAGAGAGGTCAGAGATTAGAAGCCCTGGTTGGCTATTTATGTCATTTCCAAACTGTACTATATCCTTGGAAGAGCTGGCCATTAAATATGCAGTCATAAGGGAAGCTCTATATAGGCTAAGGAAAAAGGGGATGGGGAGAAAAAGGGAGCGTTTTTAGTGACAGAGTAGAAGTAATGGGGGCTGTAACAGCTATAGTGAATCAGTGTTCAGGTTATAGGAAGGTAACAGATGGACGAATGAGTTGTCCAACTGCTGGTTTTCCCTGTTCTAAGATTTAAATTCATAGACCCATAGTACTGGATAGATTCTTAGAACATTTGATTCACTTCTTCATTAAACAGAAAAAAACCGAGCCTCATAGCAAATGAAGTTTACACAAGGCCACACAGATTTAATTAGCAATAGAGTGAGAACAAAAGTCCCATCCTCCAGATGCCAACACGTATGCAACTGTCCCAGAGTTTAACATCTAGTTCCTCGATCTCGTTTCTGATAAGGTAGCATCTGGGTATTAAATAAAGAAAAATGGAGTTGTTGCTGTTGTTCTTCCCTCTTGTTTCTCCTTCCCCAATAGCCACCTTTCTTTTTTTAGATGCTGCTTCCATGAAGAGGCAGGCATATTTCAACAAGACTGGAGACCTTCCATGTGAGTTTACAAACTCTGAAAACATAAGCCTGACTGACCTGGTGGTATTTTGGCAACATGAGAAAAAGATGGTTCTTTATGAACTATTCAAAGGCCAAGAGAATCCTCAAAATATTAATGCCATCTACAAGAATCGCACAAGCTTGGACCAGGATAATTTGACCCTGCGACTCCACAACGTTCAGATCAAGGACAAGGGATTGTATCAATGTTTCATCCATCATCTCAAAGAGTCCCAAGGAATGATTCCCATCCACCAAAAGGATATCGACCTATCAGTGCTTGGTATGTTGTCAATGGCATATCCAGATCCCTGGCCTTTTAGTTGAGACTGCAATGATCGGGGAAACACTGGTGGGGGTTAGGGGTGACCTAGAGAGAGAAGGCAGGAGACAGTCATTTCTGGGAAGTCCACTTGAAGGTAATGCAGGGTTTGGGAATAGGGAACTAGAAGTCTTTTGCACTTTTTATAGTTTGCCTCTGAAGGAATAGTAAGAATACACTATGGGAACAAAATGAGCTAACTAAACAAAAGTAATGTGGCTAAGTGAAAACCATGGGTAATTTTTCCATTACTAAGTTTATATATCACATAGACCTCAAATCTCTTTTACATTCATTTTCTCCTTTGGCCCAAGATTTCTTACCCCTTGAATCCTTGCCTGTAGCTCCTAGTGAGGGTGGCAGCTAATTAATTTGGGTTTTCCCTTCAACCTTCCAGAGATTGTTTATGAGTTGTTTGCTGCCCAACCATGAGCCTGGCAGACAGAAGGGAAATTGCCCAACCATGAGCCTGGTAGACAGAAGGGAAATAACCCAATGCATAGAGTTTAAAAACTAGTAAATCAGCTCCTTTGTTCCTCCAGGCCTTGAAGAACCTAAATGTAAATATAGATTTTTTAAAATTATAATACAATAAAATGTGTTGTTTTTAATTTAAAAAATATATTATTATTGATTTCAGAGAGGAAAGAAGAGGGAGGGAGAGATAGAAACAGCAATGATGAGAGAGAATCATTGATTGGCTGCCTCCAACATGCCCCATACTGGAGATCGAGCCTGTAACCAGGTCATGTGTCCTGACAGGAAATGGATCCATAACCTCATGGTGCATAGGTTGATGCTCAACCACTGAGCCATGCTGGCCGACATAGACACAGATTAATGTTTTATGAAACTGGAAAAGGCAGATTAACAACAATTCTGAAACCAGAGTAAAGCAGAGGTAAAAATAGAATTAGAATGGGAAGTTGCTCCCTTTAATCCCTGTGTCACTCAACTGGGCTGTAGGGCTTTGGGGACATGTAACTAAATGCTACAGTGATGCTTTCAAAGTGTGGTCATGTTCTAGAGAGAAACATGGTGTGTTTTAGATGGGACACAGACATTCATATTTTTTAAAACTTTCAGTGGTTTTTAAAATATATATCTTTATTGATTTCAGAGAGGGGGAGGGAGAGAGAGAAGCATCAATGATGAGAGGGAATCATTGATTGGCTGCCTCTTGCATGCCTCCTACTGGGGATCAAGCCCTCAAACCTAGCATGTGCCCAAGACCGGAATCAAACCTGGGGCACTTCAGTCTGCAGGCCAACGCTCTATCCATTGAGCCAAATGGTTTATATTATTTTAATATGTTTTTTTTATTATTTTAATATGTACTAGAAAAACTAATAAAACCTATAATTTCATAGATATTGCTAATAAGGCTACAGTAGGTGTACCATGGCATTCCCCCTTTGATAAACCACATATAGTTACAAGCAGAATGCTTAAGAAGTGTGTTGATATAGCAGAACTTGTAGTATGGCATGCAAATCAGGGACATATGCTAAAGTATACATTAGTACGTAGAACCTGAAAATGACCTCATAACTCTTTAAGGAGAGTGAGTTATTTTTCTGGCAGAAGGAATAGGTGCCAGCATTCCTCAACAGCCATAAAAATCTGAACGGTAAACAAGGCAAGAGAAACTCTGTGTTTATTAAAAGCATATATTTTTTCCTAAAAATAGCTGGGTTTGCCCTTCATCTTAAAGTATATGATGAAGATACTTTGACAGTCCTTCCCAAAATCAGTATTCTAAATCTAAAGTCCCCACCCACTCACTTCCCACCATCCTATGTGGATTTCTGGAAAATAGGGCCCAGAGAAAAACCAGCACCCAGAACTCTGTTGGTTCCTAGTTGAACTTTAGCCTCAATCCCATTCTGTTCTCTTGGTCTGGTGACCTGGAACATATTCCATGGGACACTTGGGTCCTAAAGTCAGATCACTTCTCCTTCCTAAGACTTTATTCCTTAGAGAAATGGCCTCATTATAATTTTTTTATTTTTGTTAATCCTCACCCAAGGATATGTTCCCATTGGTTTTTAGAGAGAGTAGAAGGGAGGGAGAGAGACACACAGAGAGAAACATCAATGTGGAAGAGACACATAAATTGGTTGACTCCTGCATGTACCCCAACCCTCCAATTTAGCCCTCCAATCACTCAGACAGCATTGCCTTGATTTGGGGAAACAGAAACTAAGCATGGTCCCAAACTCCATTCTTAAAAATTCAATATGGGACCTTTTTGTGGCTCTCACCATGGTCTGAGACCCATGCATGAGGCACTCTGGGGCTCCGAGATGGGCCCCCAGAGAGTTCACAGAACAGGTACCTAGCCATTTGCTATATTCTCTTCTAAATACTCTTAAATTTTGGTTGATTTTTTTCTCTCTCTTTGTATCTCTATTCTGATTTCAGCTAACTTCAGTCAACCTGAAATAATGCTAATTTCTAATAGAACAGAAAATTCAAACATAAATATGACCTGCTCATCTGTACAAGGTTACCCAAAACCTAAGAAGATGTATTTTCTGCTAAAAACCATAAATTCGACATACAAGTATGATGCTGACATGAAAATAATCCAAGATGATGACACAAGTCTATACAATGTTTCTATCAGCTTGTCTTTTCTGGTGTTTCCTGAAACAAATACGAGCATCTTCTGTGTCCTGCAACCCGAGTCAACCCAGTTAGAGCTTCTCTCCCAACCTTACAATATAGGTAAGGCTTCTCCCCAAGACAATGTCTTTTACCAGGTATTATATACAAATGCTATGACAGATCATCCAATGTCCCAGGAAACCTCCAACTGAGCCATTTTATACTGACAGAGGTCATCTGAGTGCTGCAGGGTCCAGGACACTATGAACCTACAGCCAACTTTGTGAACCTATGCTGCACTGGAGGAAGCATGTTCTTACGCCCTGACACTAACCCAATCTTTTGGGCTACCTTTGTATATACAATTCTAAAGTTTAGGTCATAAAATGCAAGATTTCTCCAAGCTAGAATTCTTCCATTTATTAAAATACACACAATCCCCCCCCCTCCCCCGTCACCCCCAAAACACACACCAGGCATATACATACATATAGCACTTGTGAATATAGAACCATTCTAGAAATTCTTGGTTACAAAGATGAAAACTAAAAGGTATAAGATATGCTCTCTGTCCTCAAAGACCTCCCAATAGAATTAGAACTCCATGATGTAGACAAATGAAAATCTGCATTTTTAAAAAGATTGGATTGGAATCTAAGTTATATTCCATAGAAATAAGTTGTAAGATTAAAAACTAAAGTGACTGTAATTAGTTTTACAGGCAATCAGATATAGGCAAGTTCTTGAGGGTCAGGGGAAGTCTTTTTGAAGGAGGTGAGATCTTGTAACACAACAAAAGAAAGAATTGGTGGTGAGGTGATGACAGGTGAGGACCACAATGGACTAGCAGTATCCAATGTGGGCGCAAAAGGTAACATACATATATGTCAAGGAAAGACACAGAAGCAGAAATTCTCTTGGCATGTTGACAGTGCCATATGGAGACCAGTCCAGCTGGAGGAATGCATTGAGACTAAGCAGTGTCCACGAATAAGAATCTGCCATTTTAAAGTCATGACTTTGCACTTGAGGGAATGCATCCATATTTGAAACCCCACTTTTGAAGAGCAGTGACCGCAAGATTCCTTCCTGGAATAGAGGCACTCTTCTCCCACACTGACTCCATCACTGCTGGTTCTGATGCTGACCCTTCCCCAACCTATCTGCCTTCTGCTTGCCTTGGCCCCTTCTCCAACTCTGGCTCCATGCTTTGTCTTTTCCTAAGTCATCCATTCAACTCCTAGTTCCATCCTCTGGCTTTGCTGCCTTCTTATCCTGATGTCTTCTTATTCAAAGGTATTTTGGCCTATGGACATATTCTTTTGTGCAGCCTCTGGGGCCTGTTCCTACCAGCCAACTTCATCAATAGGCCAATTCTCTCTCCTGGTATGGTCTTCCTCCACTCAGGCACTTCCCCCTCTGAGAATCCAATAAATGGTGTGGGAGCCATGGCAGAGGGCCCCAAGCCTGTCCTGGTTGTTTCTACTGTAGCCTGATATAGGTCTCTCCAAGCCACTCCTGAAGTTCAACACCTTGTGGGAGTCCCTAATATCACCACACATGACATGCTCTGGGGCCCTCTGCCATGGCTCCCACAGTCGACAAATGAATAGAGCCTTGCCACCACGAGAGCCTCATCATGACTCACTTTCTCTGCTTCTCAGCTACTGCTGAAACCTTCCAAGCTACTACCATCTTCGGAAACTTTTAGCTCCAGCTGCCTCAGGAAGCTAGGGCTGGCCTCTCCATGACCCTGTTCTATTGCTTGATCAGAGATAGTTTAAATTCCGAGTCAAGGAATTTTGGGGGGTATCAAAAGGTACCATTCTCCATGTTAACAAGTATAAACCTTGCCCTCCACCCAAATAAGCTGAATGAGATGAACTGGGACAGACTCAAAAAGTACTGAATAAGACTTCCAATAACTCCTCTTCTTAATTCCCCTGGATCAGGGCCTGGGTCCACAAATTGCAGCTAAGCTAACAGGAGGTCCTGTTTTCCTATAATTTAGGATTCACTACCGGAAGTGTTCTCATGAATGTTTATGAAATGGGTCCCTCAGTTCTCAGTTTTTCCCCCCAAAGCCTCTTTTTCAACTTCCTGGAAACTTATGAGTATCCATGCAAGGAAATAAGCCTTAGCTTCCCAGGAGCTGAGAAGCTAAAGGTACGAAAAGACAGCAAAGTTTTTCTGGTAGGTGAGACATGCTGACAGCCATGCTTGGGGAAATCTGCTGTGACCTCCGTGTAAAAGGCAAACAAACAAAAACAAAACTGGAGGCAGAACACCTGTGAGGAGGTCATTGTATTTGTCTAGGTGAGAGGTGTCTGAAGCCTGATCTAGAGATGACAGTGGATGGAGGAATTATTATGAAGGAAACTTTAGGACCTGGGCCTGACTACACAGGGAGCTGAGGATGCAGGCATCACACAGAGGACTGTACTTTCAGAGCCTTGGCACAGGTACCTTACCCAGATTCCAAGGGCAAGGTCAACCCTCTTCTAGATCACAGTCATTTTCATCCCAGCCTCTGGGAAGGTAAGAGAGCTCAGTGCAGGCATTTGGTCAGAAGCACTGGCTTGTTTACTAGTGAACCGCTGAAGACCCTGAGACTGGGACTTTCTAACACTTCATATTGTGTAAAATTCTGGCTTCTCTGGCAGTAGAGCCCTGGGGAAAAGCTGGCATGTAAATAAGAGAACAGCAGTCATAATAACCAATCTTCCTGGCTGATTAAAAATTTGTGGTCATTTTTAGATGCAAAGCCACCTCAGCCACCCCTGCCTGCCCCAGACAATGTCTTCCTGACTGCTCTGCTTGTACTGCTCATTGGGTGTGCGATCGTAGTGTTATTTACGACACTAACGAAAAGGAAGAAGAAGAAGCCTGGCCCCTCTCATGAATGTGGTGAGTCAGTGCTTGCCCTCTCTGCAGAGTGCCACTTTGCAGGGACTTCCCTATCTGCAGCCTCCCGCAGCTCCTTGGTTGAGCCCAGACTGGCAAAAAGTCAACAAGAGGTTGGAAGGCAAGGTTTCCCTGAAGGATCTGGAATCTAGATGAGACTCAGCAACTGATAGCATTGCTCTGGTTTTCTAGGAAAGGCACTGTTTCTAACCTAAGACTTACACATATGAAAGATTATTCCTTGCTTTACCTACCTCCCTTCGTAAGATTACTTTCAGAATCCAATGAAGTAAAATGGTGAAAATACTCATAGACCTGGTGATGTTCAAGCAGGGATGTGTGGTGGGAGGAGAGGAACATGAGATAACCATGAGATTTGCCTTCAGATAACTAAAATAGGTCTCCTGAGCAGTTAGACGAATTGTTCCTCACTGACTTTAAAAAATAATATGAACTTTCATTGATTACCAAGCATTACATATGCATTACTAAAATATACAGGGGGAGGGAGGGGTAATCACCTATAGTTTCAGTAGTAATATATATATATATATATATATATATATATATATATATATATATATATATATTGCTGATAGCATTTAGTGTATATCATCCAGATACTTTTTATGTATCAATTTGTTCTTTTCCATAAGTGGGATACTATTATAAGGACTATTTTGTTTTACAATTAGGTTAATCTCACATGTTTTCTAACTTTTTTGTACTAAATGTTCAAAAAATATTCAATGTCATTAAACATTATTCTATAGTATCACATTAAATAGCTGTGAGATATTCCATTATGTGGATATACGTTAATCTATTTAACCAACTCTATACCGTTGGACACTTGGATACTTTTGCTATTATAAATAGCACTGGATTCAGCAGCCTCCCACATATGTTGTAAAAGTAGCCTGTGTTTGTTTAGTGGGGAAAATGGTTCCTGACTTTAGAATAATCCCTATATATGGTTTGGGCTGGTTTGGATAAAGTTGTAAAATAAAGTTGGACTTCATCTCAGTAATTGCCTCTAGTAAAAGTTGGATTGGTGTTAATAATTAGGTAATCTTCTTACTCACTTATGGTAAAAAGAATAATGCTTCTGGTCAGCATCTTATTTGAAACTTCATTATATTGATTTTAAGATCCATGTAGAAAATAGATGGATTCCATAGCAACCAACATTACCAGTTATTTATTTCATCCCTGCTTTAAAACAGGAAATTTGAGAGTGATTATCCAATTTCCATAAATTAACACAAAGCATATGGCAGAGCAATTCAAGCTGCTAATGTAGGGAAAATTCAGTACACAGGATCAGATGTTTGGATTTATCATGCTCATCCAGGCCTTGACTTTTCAAGGTCAGAGTTTTGAGCTTCTCTCTCTTTTTTTTCAATCTCGTTGCCTTTAGAATTGGCTAAATGTGCAGAGGCAACTCGAAAGTTAGGGAAGAAGTTGTCTCCTAAATTTGCTTTCACGTTTGGAATGATTAGTTTACAAATGAGACAAAGAAGAAAGGATAGACGAAAAGAGAGTAAGAATGTTTCTTCCTCCAAGAGGCAATCAGAAAAATTCAGGAGACTGGAGACGGGAGTTAAAGAGGAGGATGTGTGTGACACATGAGAGAAATTGGAAAGAGTTTTAAAAAGCTATATGTGTGCATAAAAGATGGTCAAATTGAGCTATGAGTGGTAAAAGGCAGAAGACAGCACAGCACATACATGAACCTTTCCTCCCCTTCCCCAAGAATGTGATAAAAAGTACTGATAGGAAAACGTTGTCTGGCCAATCACTTATGCCAGTGAATTTGGTTAAAGAAAAGAGCCTTGATATCACTGAAGGAAGGGAGATGTACTGAATAACTATGATGTGTAGATATGAGATGTTTGTAAATTTGGGTTCCATAACCTCAGCAGTGTCTACATTTACCTTGTGAATTCCTCTCGCATTGGCTATGTGATAAACAGAATAATGCCCACAGTAAGGTATCCACCTCACATACCCCAGAATCTGTAATATTTTCTTTTACAGCAAAGAGTACTTGCATATGTGATTAGGACACTGACCTTAAGATGATGAAATTATCCTGGATTATTCAGGTGGAACCTGTCTAATCACATGAGTCAGAGAACTTTTCCCAGCTTGGTTAGAAAGATAAGATAGAAGGAGAAAAGAATGTAAGACAGACTTAACCCACCATGTCCGGCTTTAAAGATGGAGGAAGGGGCCGTGAAGCAAGAAATGTAGGCAGCCTTCACCTGAGAGCCAGCAAGGAAATGGAAATTTCAGTCCTACAAGCACAAGGTACTAAATTCTGCCAATAGACAAACATGAAAGTAGTTGTGTTCTGTTCAGAGAGACATAAGTTTACTAATAATCTATGGGAATTTCTCCAAAAATGGAGCTTCCTCCTAATCCAAAACTAATCCTCTTCTCAGAGGAAAACAATCCTCAAACTAACTTGTTATCAAAAGTCCTTTCCAGTGTTTGTTCATAGTTATATTGGTTTCTCCCCCCGCCCCCAAACCATACATATTTACCCTGTTTAACCTGTTAAATTAATATAAGGGACATGGCATGGTTATTCTATCTGGTTTCCAATCTCTCTTCTCTTTTTATTTTTTATTTTTATCAAATAAGACAGATAAGGCATGAGAAAATGTCATCTTGAATTACTGCCTTTTCCAATCAAAAGCTACCTGTCAGCTCACCCTCTCAGGAGAAAGACTAAAAAAACTCCTGGAATTTTGCTTCCTTGTTTGGTTTTGTGTGACTGACATCTATATGTAATAGTGCCATAGCAACCAACAGTTGTTTGTTTGTTTTTTGTTTGTTTTTTTCCAACTTGCCTCCTTCCACCAAACCTGAGTCTTGGGTTTTCCAGGAATGATCTCCTAAAGGGCAAGTATTTTCTCCAAAATAAAACATTTCAACTACCGTTTAAGCAGAAACCTTTACAGGTTTCTGAAAGTTGGTGATAGCATCATATCTGCCCTTCAAAATGCTAAATTTATAACCAAACCTAACAGGTTAGAAATCTATCTTTATTATCTGCTTTCACTTTAAAATAGAAGTGTGTGTGTGTGTGTGTGTGTGTGTGTGTGTGTGTGTGTGTGTGTGTTTAGTGGTGATTATCTTTGTCACCGACATAAAAGGATAATTTAATTATTCTGGACTGGTCTATAGACATTTGAAATACTCCTTTCAACTGTAAGCACCATTATTTTCAAGAGGAACGTTTACATATATAGAACCTAACCAGCTTTATTTTGTCTGGAAACTAAGTTAAATAAGACACAGATCTGATGGTAGGGGAAACCCTGATATCAAAACTAAAAAAAATTACAAGAAAACTACACATATCTCTTATGAACATATCAAAATACTGAACAAAATTAACAACTAAAATCTAACAATATTGTAAAAGTATGATACATCGTGATCAAATGGAGTTTATTCCAGGAACATAAGATAGGTTTAACATACAAAAACCAAACACTAAAATTCACCATATTGACAAACTGGAAAGAATAACCATGAGATCATGTCATTGGATACAGATAAAACATTTGGCCAAATTAATATCCATTCATGATTTTAAAAAAGGAAGAACAGTAGGAATAGGGAGGAACTTCCTCAACCTGACAAAGGACATCTACCAAAACCCTTAATTTAACATCATATTTAATGACAAAAGACTGATTGCTTTGTCCCTAAGATCAAGAAGAAAGCAAAATGTTCACTCTCACGATTTTTGATCAACATTGTACTGGAGGTCCTAGCCAGTGCAACAAGTCTAGAAAAAGAAACAAAGACATACATAGTTGGAAAGGAAGAAGCAAAGCTCTCTTTTTTGCAGATAATATGCTCATGCTTGTAGAAAAGCCTAAGGAATCCATTAAAAACTATTAGAACTAATTGAGTGTAGCAAAGTCACACGATATATAGTCAACACACAAAATAAATTGTATGTTTTTTTACAAAGAACAATTAGACACTGGATAAAATTTAAATGCCATTTACAGTGACATCAAATAATATTAAAGGTTTAGGAATAAAATTTTAAGAACAAATTCAAGACCTGTATATTAAAACTAAAAAAAAAAAATTATAACCCACAAAAATTTTAATTACCCAAGTAAATGGAGAAATATGCCGTGTTTATGGATCAAAAGACTAGATTTTAAGATACCAATTCTCCCCAAATTTATTTATGGTTTTAATGCAATACCAATCAAAGTCCTTTCAGGCTGTTTAGTGGAAACTCAAAACCTGATTCTAAATGTCATATAGAAATGTAAAAGACTTACAATTGGTAAAAGAATTCTGAAAAATAAGGAAACAGAGGACTTATACTACCTAATTTTAAGATTTACTATACAAATGATAGTAATCAAGGCAGCATGATATTGCTGAAAGTACAGACACATCAGTCAATGGACCAAAATGGAAAGTCCAAAAATAAATTCACATGGTCAACTGATTTGACAAATGTGTGAAAATGATTTCATGCAAAAAGGATAGTTTTTCAACAGACGGTATTAGGCAATTAGATATCCACATGGAAAAATATGAACCTAAGCACACACAAAAATAACTTGAAGTGAATTATATATCTAAATATAAGAGCTAAAATTAAAAGACTTTGGAAAGAAAACATAAGAAGAAATCTTTGTGACCTTACCTTAGCCAAATCTTAGACAAACACAATAAACACAAATTGATAAACTGAAATTCATGAAAATTAACAACTTTTATCCTTTGACTTTATTAAGAAAATAAAAAGTCAAGCCACAGACTGGTAGAAAATATTGCAAAAATGTGTATCTAATAAAGGTCTTATATCCAGAATATATGATTATGTATTACTACTAGGTGATAAGAAAAAAAATCCATTTAAAAGGCAAGGAGCAAAAGACTTGAACAGATATTTAACAGAAGAAAGGATATAAAGGACCAATAAACATAGTCACACAGTCACAACACCATTAATCATTAGGGATATACACATTAAAGGCATAACAAGATACCATTGCACACCCAAACATGACAAAGATTAAAAAGATTAATAAATACCAAGTTTTGAAGAGGAAACAACTGAAATCCTGACGTACAGTCCTGCAATTCTAGGTATTTACCCATCTATATAATAAAAGTCTGAGTGACTGTTACTGCGGAATGACTGAAACAACCAGTTGTTTTGATGCGTACTGACCACCAGGGGCAGATGCTCAATGCAGGAGCTGCTCCTTGGTGGTCAGTGTGCTCCCACAGGGAGAGTCATAGCTCAGCCAGAAGCTGGGCTCATGGCTGGTGAGCGCAAGGCAGTGGTGGGAGCCTCTTCCACCTTCACAGCAGAGCTAAGGAGCAGTGGGCCAAGCATAAGGAGAGAGGGGTCCTGGATTGCGAGAGAAATAATCCAGAGGGATCAGGCCTAAGCCAGCAGTCAGACATCCCATGAGGAGTCCAGGACGGAGAGAGGGTGCAGGCTGGGCTGAGGAGACCATCCCCCCAAAGTGCACAGATTTCATGCACCAGGCCTCTAGTGAGAAATAAAAACCATATCTGCACGGATATTTACAGCAGCCTATGGTACTGAAAACCTGGCATCCCGAATTTTTATCAATTGGTGAATGAATAAACTAATAGTGGTATAGTACTGGCAACATGCCACAACATGGATGAATTTCAAAAGCATTATCTATGCTAAGTGAAAGACTCCAGACACTAAAACACTACACATTATATGATTTACTTACATGAAATTAAGCAAAACTCTTGTAACATTAAACAGATCAGTGGTTACCAGGGAATAGGGTGGGGGAAAGGGGCAGCAGGGAATTTTGAGGGCTTATATAAATGTTCTATATCTTGGTTATGGTGGTAATTATATGACTGCACACATTTGTTAAACTCACCAAAATCTATATGAAAAATGACTGGGTTTTATTGTATATTAATAATCCTATATAACAAAAAGCTAATATGCAAATCAACCAAATGGTGGAAAGACTGGTCACTATGATGTGCACTGACCACCTGGGGGCAGATGCTCAACACAGGAGCTGCTCCCTGGTGGTCAGTGTGCTCCAACAGGGGGCACACCGCACTCAGCCAGAAGCCGGACTCACAAGTGGTGAACATAGTGGCAGTGGTAGGAACCTCTCCCACCTCCACTGCAGGCAGGTGGTGAGGAGCGAGGGGTCCCAGACTGCAAGAGCCCCTGACTACAAGAGGGATGTCTAACTGCTGGCTTAGGCCCTATCCCCTGAGGCGTCCAGGACTGTGAGAGGGTGCAGGCCCAGCTGAGGGACACCCTCTCCAGTGCATGAATATCATACACCAGGCTTCTAGTACCTCAATAAAGCTGGTTATTTTTTAACACACACATGTGCATTCACAGACACACACACACACACACACACACACACACACACACACACACGAGCATGCGCTCCTGTGTATGCATGAACTGCCCATGACAGAAAGTATTCAAAACCATCAGGGGAGCTGTTGAGAAAATCCCCCTGGTCCCTAAGTTCCTCTGTGGTCACCCAGGTTAACAACCCCTGCTGTAAGGCTCTAAGTGGGACAATAGCACTGTCACAACCTAGAGGACTTTACACCCCAAGTTGCATTAGAAGTAAGTCCATTCCTACCGAAACCGGTTTGGCTCAGTGGATAGAGCGTCGGCTTGGGGACTGAAGGGTCCCGGGTTCGATTCCAGTCAAGGGCATGTACCTTGGTTGAGGGGACATATCCCCAGTAGGGGGTGTGCAAGAGACAGCTGATCGATGACTCTCTCTCATCAATGTTTCTAGCTCTCTATCTCTCCCTTCTTCTCTGTACAAAATCAATAAAATATATACAAAAAAAAAAAAGAAGAAGAAGAAGAAGTAAGTCCATTCCAGTAGCAACTCACGCTTTGGGAGATCTAGCCAGCTGGAGATTTCTCAGGTGGGTCTATTCATGCAATATTGTGTAGTTGGTAGTATCAGCTGGCTAACCCACTTCAGCATCAACATCTTCAAGATTTCCTTTTCCTCCCAAGTCTTATTTTCAGAAAAGGATTAGAAATTCTTGTCTGATCACTAAATGGTTGCTAAAACTAAATGTGTTCTCTGCTCCCACTAGTATTTTTATTTTAGCAAAGACTAGATTTGTAAGTGAAAATCCTATTTCCAACATTAGAACTGAAGGCACAGTGGGCAAGTAAAGGCATTTACTTTTTGGATGCAAGGAGCTCCTTCTCAGGCCCCCTGAAACTGCATCAATTATTTCACACTTAAGACTACAAGGACTTTTCTCTGAGTCCTAGGACTTTGGAGTCCCTTCAAACTTTCCCCTTTTCAGGGACATGAATGGGCAATTCATTTTCTGAGATTGTTTTACTCTCTTTCAGAAGTCATCAGAGCAGAAGGGGAAGAAAGTGAACAGGCCAATGAAAGGTGAGTCCAGACCTTACAACATTGTTGAAAGAGGTCTGATTCCCAGAGGGTCTATAACTTGAATAGACTTATGTCTGAGGCATGCTGAGACCCCAACAAACATGCACTAATGGAGAGGGAAAGGAAAGCGAAACCAATAGGACCAGGAGGAAAATGTCCTAGATGTCAATGGATGGCAGGGAGTCCAATGCACAATGCTCAGTCATGGCCAAGTAAGCAATCAATACTAAAGGGGCCTGATGCGCGGAGCATGGGCTGCATTTTATTCACCACGGTAACCACAGTACTAGTGGCTTTCCTACATGTGTGGAACGAATACTTGAATAAATGAGGAATGATAATATGTTCCATTTAGCTTCTGTGTCTTTGAATCTGCTGTGCCTTCTGCTTGGAATATTCTTCTGCCTCTTCTTCATCTCACTCTTCAGATCTTGATTCAAACAGCATTTTCTTAAAAACCCATCCCAAACTAGATTATGTCAGCCCATTATAGTGTCATGTGGATACCTGTCCTTTTTCTTTATAAGGAAACATTATTTACTATTATTAAACTCTAAAAATTGAACTCATCTAGACTCTTTCGAATGCAGGATTCATATTAGTTAAACTAATCATTGTGCTGCTAGCAACCAGCACAGTGCCTGGCATATAGTAGATGCTTAATAAGTATTTGTTGAAAACTTGAATGAGTACATGAAGGAATGCATGATGACTCCTGGTGATCAGTCCTTTCACAACATGATATAATTGGATGGCTTATACCTCTGTCCCTCCTGAGGAACCGAGCTTGTCAAGAATATCAAGACTCAAAAAAAAAAAAAAAAAAAAAGAAAGAAAGAAAGAATATCAAGACTCTGGCTGCATGTCTGTGGGCTCAAAGCAACCCTCAGTGAAGAGCCTGGTCAGAGAGACACAGCCAGGACCCAAGGGTACATATTCCAGCCACTGTGAGTCTAGGGATTCTGGGGGGTGAGCCAGGGTCCTGAGATCTTGCCATCCCTGTCAGACTTAGTTCAGAAATGGTCCAGAGGAGCCTATAGAGGGAAGGTGGCAGGGACTCAGGTTAGGGCAGGGATAGGCCCAGACAAAAATATAGGGTAGCTACTGAGAAAAGTGTGGGTGACACTTCACATCTCCCTTCAATAGTTTGTTCTTCCTTGTTGTTATTGCAATGCCCCCTATATTTGGCCTTCCCATTGAAATCTAGAAAATGAAGTGGCTCCACTGTGAAATCTGACCAAATTCTTTTTTTCTATTTCTCCAGAGTAGAAAACCGTACACCTGAAAGATCTAATGAAGCCCAGTGTGTTGTCAACGTTTCAAAGACAGACCCAGGTGACAAAAGTGCTGCACATTTTTAATTAAAGAGTAATGTCCATTTGACTATTTTTTTTAATATGTGGATTGTTCCTCTTTCTTTTTTCCCTTTTTAAATTAAATGTATTGGAATTACATTGGTTAATAAGATTATGTGGGTCTCAAGTGTACAATTCTATGCTTTCCTTTACAAGTTTTTGGCTGACTTTTTTTTTTTTTTTTTTTGGTCTCTCTAAACCTTCCCAGTTTAGAAAATATTACCATTAATAATAGTGGAGGCTCCAGGCCTCCCTCTAAATGAAATGGCCTCCTTATAATGCCAGCTCTTCTCCTTATGCCAGGAGCAGATTTTATCTGCTTCTTTTCAGAGCACATGAATTGGATCTTAATGTTTAGGACTAATGCCTTCTGTGTCAGAGTTGGCCTCTTTTCTTAATTTTACAAATTGTGCTTTCTGTAGAACTCCCACTTCCTAGAATAGTGACTTTTATCTACTCTGAATTCTAAGATAATGCCACAACTTATCTTGTATACTTACGACTGAACACCTACCTCTTCAGTCTGAGAGGGAGCTATATTTTTATGTCTTTAGAGTGTTAATATTAACATTTTGAAATATTAAAAAAAAAATGTACTCTACTAATGTAGTAGTTACGATCCACCCTTTGCCAAGGAGTTGTTGTTCTTTTCTGAGGATCAGTATGGAAAGCAGACAAACTCAAAATTTGGGAAACTAAGTGAGTCGGAGATGGCAGCACCATGGATCCTGGAGTCATTTCTAAATGGACTGTTGCTAACACTACGGAAGACCCATGTGCCCTACAAGCTATTGATAAGCCTTAGGAGAGAACGCTGGATAAAGCAGGACAGTGCCGTGCTTCGTGAACCCTCCTTCTCTTCTAGAAAAAACTGACTGAGATTGTGGCCTAGGCAACCGTGCAAGAGCCAACAGAGAGATCACAATACTCAAAAGAGAGGGGCGGTGGGGAAAGAAGATCTTGACCAACAGAGATGCACATGAATGTTCGTCTGTCCAGTTCTTCAACAAGCCTTGGGGACAAGCAACAGATGAATAGTTTGTCCAAATAGACTTAAGACAGGCAGTAGTTTTCTGGGTGGACAATGGAGGGTTTTGATGATACCATGTGGTTGTGATGTTTTACCTGGCTGAAAGAGAGCTATCATCTTGATCATGGGGTAAATGGAAGGAGACTTGAAATGTTTCCAACTAATGGCGGAGAGACAAAGAGCTGGAATAAAATTAGTTTGACCAGCATGCAAATCATCCGGAAGTTGACTTAGCCCACAGATGCCCTGAGAACATATTGGCTAGCCCAGAGCAATGCTGGTGAACTTGTGTCTGAGGACTATGAGCATCATTTTCAACAATAAGTAAACTGGGTGCAAGAGAAAAATATATCAACCCAGTAGGAATAAGTTGAGAGAAGCTGGCTCTAAAGCAACATCAGTAGGGGATGGAGCAGCTTCAGTTCGAACCTGAAGAGGACTATGGGAGGCCCACGCTATAGAAATGGTTCTGTAGACCCTAGAGAGTAATAGACAGTTATGCTAGCCATGCTTGTCCTTATGAAATTGTCATTTGTGTGCTCTACCCTGCTCCTGCCTTCTTTAGACTCTAAGCATCTTGTTTAGAGTTTTGTACAGAGCAGCTCTCGATAAATTTTCATTAAACTGATGTAAAAATTTATGTTTGGCTTCCGGAGTATTACTCAACCCTTGTAATCTGATACTCTGCCCTCTGTCTTCCTTGTAGTCTGATGCTCTTCCCTATACTTCCTTCCTCTTGACGTCTCTGTGGTAGCCCCATTCTCCAATCACCCTAGTTTGAAGCCTCTGACTCATCCCAAACCTTCTCCTCTTCTCTTTCCCCTAACCATTGTATGAGAAAGAGGCACGAATATAATTCTATATGTTAATCTCAGTAATAAGACATAAAAGATTAGTTAAGACTGGTTGTTTCTGAAGGCAACTGGAAAATTTAGAGTGAAAAAATGGGTACTTGCTTTTCAGTTTATAAACTTTCATACTGTGTAATTTTAAAATTATGTGCTTATATATACACTAAACAAAGGCTAATGTAAAAGCATTTCTAAAAAATACACTATTATAAAATAAATTCATATAACTGTACTTTTTGTTTGAAAGTTGCTAAGAGAGTAGATCTGAAAAATTCTCATCAGAAGAAAAAATAATTTGTAACCATGTATGGTGATAGATGTTAATTAAACTTATAGTAGTAACCATTTCACAGTGTGTAAATATATCAAGTCATTATGTTGTAAACCTAAAACTAATACATTATATGTCAATTATATCTCAATTAAAAATAAATAAATAAATGTAGGGAAATTCTGAGGAAAAACTATCTAGGCTCTGTGAGAGCAGGGATGTGATCTAACTTATTCATCAACAAATCCCAGGAAACTAATATAGAATCTCAAAACTATTTGTTTAACTATTAAATGGAACATTAAGTATTAATGCTTCATTCAATATTAATATCTGGTAAAAAAACAAAACAAAAACAAAAACAAACAAACAAAAAAAAAACCATCCCTCCTTTGTATACTAACTTCTCTAGACCTTCTGTGTTCCAAGTCTGGGGAAAAGAAAGCCAAGAAAGGTTAAAAGAGTCTCACCTTGTAACAGGGACTCCTCTAAACCTTTAAATGTATTATCCCATTTGTTCCTCATAATGACCCTGTGATTTCATTATTGGGATACGATGCCCATTTTGCTGATAAGGAAACTTAGGCACTGAGTGGTCAAAGCAATTTATCCAAGGTCTCCAACTTAGTAAGTGGTAGAGCTGGGGAAACTTTTTAAAAGCATAACATCCCCCCTTCCCGCCCCCCAATCCCTTTATTTCCCAGCCCCATGTTTTCTGGCCATAGAAGAGACAGCAGGTGAGTGCTCACACATCACATCTTTCGTTACACTAACTGAGTCACCCAAGATGGTGCTGCAAAGAACTCACCACTGATTTTCCAGAAACCATTCATCATCATCTCATAAGGCATATGAGGTGGGCAGTGAAAATGAGTTTTTGGTCAGGGGGGAAGTGAAATACACTCCTGCCACTTATTCTTTTGCAATTCACCCTCCTCCCTCCACCATTCTGAAGCCAGTTTCATCCACTCAGTGCCTTCACGTGTTAACCCACGCTAGAAAGCACAGAGTCATCTCTGACTACTGTCCTGCGACCTTTCCCTCAACACCCACTGCCCACCTCTACTGTATTTGGTCATAACCAGGTCAGGCAAGGTCCCTCCAGCTTCAGCACCCACTCCTTATTTCCTCAGCCAGGCTCTTATTTCTAAGAAGTGACAATCAAAACCAAACTGACCCCAGTCTACTCTCTCTTTTATCTTGGATTTTGTTCAAAACATCAAAAGGCACAAGGCAGGGAGGGTGGGCGGCAGGGGGAGAGTAAGAGATCAACAAAAGGACTTGTATGCATGCATATCAGTATAACCAATGGACACAGACACTAGTGGGGTGAGGGCATGTGCTGGGCGTTGGGCGTGGACAGGGAGAGGTCAATGGGGGAAAAGGAGACATACGTAATACTATTGTAATACTTTAAATAATAAAATAAAAAATTTAGAAAGGGAACAAGGAGAAAAAGATCTCTCTCACATTCTTTTTTTTTCTAACCACTCAGAAGCAAGTTTAATCTCCAGCTTCTTATGTATCTTTCCATAGATACACCATATATATATATATATATATGGTGTGTGTGTGTGAGTCTATGAGTATATATAGTGCATATATACATAAATATACACACATATATGTGCATATATTTATTTTATCTATATGTGTTCCACATGTTTCATATATATAGTTCAGTCAGATTTGGTTTTATTCTACACCTAAGCAGCCAACATAAACATAAGGCTCTTGTTAAGAAGATTACAAACATACTTCTTTATTGTATCTCTTTGCAGTCTCATCCATATACCAGCATTCTTATGGAACTTATAATAAAAGTGAGGTTCCATTGTCTTTCATCATCGCCACCAGTGTACTCCAGGAGGGAAAATACAAGCATATACAAAGTCCTGCACTGTCCTTAGACACAAAATTTTGAACATGCTCCAATCATAACAAATTATACACTAGGTCTGGTGGATAAGTCATTCTGAACTGGATTTCCTATTTCCTGCATTTCATATATTTGTCTTTCTTGACTTACTTCCTCACTTCAGTTGTACATATCCACCAGTAGCTTTTTGAAAAAGGATATGTGAGAAGTAAATTTAATGAGATTTTGTGTATCTGAAAATATCTTTATCCTTCTCTCCTACTTAATTGATCATTTGTAACAAACAAGTGTAACATAAAGATTAGAGTGCCAGGACTTTTTAAGTGTTTTTATTATGAAAAGATGTATTTTTAAAATATTCAAACTTATTTCAGATATAGAATTTGGAGTTAGAAATTCCTTTTTTTAAAAAAAAATATATATTTTATTGATTTTTACAGAGAGGAAGGGAGAGAGATAGAGAGTTAGAAACATCAGTGAGAGAGAAACTAGCAATGAGGTACTTTCTATCTGAAAACAAACATCCTTTACTCTAGGGAAATTTCTTAAATTGTTTCATTGATTTTTCCCTCTCTATTTCTCTGATCTGTCATTCTAGGATATTGGATTTCAGTGTTGGCTCTTCCAGGTTGATCTTCCTATTTTCTTATCTTTCTGTCCTCTTCCATCTTTTTGTCTTTTGCTCTGTTTCTTAAAGATTTCCATAATTTTATCTTCCAAACTTTTTGTTGTATTTTAAATTTTTCTGCTATCAAATATTCATTTCCAATAGCTCCTTTTTGTTCTCTGAATATTTCTTTCTCTAAGGAGCCTATTCTTAATTGATTCTGTATAATTTTTTAACTTTCTGAAGATGTTGGTAGGTTTTTAAGTGTTATTTTTCCTGTATTGTCTCTGTATCCTCCAAGTTTTTCCTTCCTATTTGGTTGCCTTGGTCTATAGAAACTATGTTGGAGGCTTCTTGTGATAATAAGG